GAAGGAGACCCAGACTTGGCGGGGTGTGTGTGTGTGTCAGGAATCCCCCTTCGTCCACTGCAACCAGATCTTTCTTCTGGGCCCTTTGGCGGCTCAGCCTCCTTCCCTGGGAGGCGGGGGACCCTCTGCCCCCCCCCCGTGCCCTGCTTGCAACCCGTTTCGTCCCCCCGCCCCCGGCTGCAATGCAAATATGCAATCGATTGACGGGGCGGCTAATCCACCTGCGGCTCCCACCACCACCCCGTTGCCTGCCCCAGAGGCGACCGGCGGGGAGGGAGGGGGAGATGGAGCAGGGAGGGAGGGAGGGAGGGAGGGGGGCAGAAATGGCGAGGGGGAGGAGGAGGAGTCCCCCCCGGGACGGAGTGGGCGTCCAGCGGAGCCCCGCGACCCAGCCGAGTCGGCCTTTCAGGAGAAGCCCTCGGGAAGCAAGAGGAGCCTGCCTGCCTGCCTGCCTGCCTCGAGAGCGGCCAGGCCAGCCAGAGGTTTGGCTCCCAGCAGCAGCCGAGCAGGCGCCTCTGGGGGAACGGATGCCCTCCCGGCTCCTTCTTTATTTGAGCGCGCTGCCTGAGGGACTCCCTCTCCATTCCTGGGGGAATTCGCCACAGCCCACTCTTTATAATGGCATCGCAAGAGATCCCGGGTGGACGGTCCTCTGGTGGTTTGTTCCCAACACTAGTCCACTAGTGTAGATTGGAAGCACACCCCCCCCTTCCTCCCTCCCTCCCTCCCTCCCTCCCTCTGGGAGCCAAGGTGGTGGTGGTGGAGCATTGTCAACACCGTACAAGTCAAAGAGTTGGAGGAGGAGGAAGGAAACAGGTTCCCTGCCCTGAGGAGCATAGGGCCTACATTTTGATAGGGGAGGAGGAGGAGAAGGGGTGATGCTTTCAGAGGGTCTGTCGCTGCAAAAAATGTCTAGTGGTGCCTTAAAGAGGTACAGAAACAAGATTTTGTGGAAGAATCATGGTCACCATTGCATTCTCTGTTCATTCCACATCACCCCTCCAGTTTCATACTGACAGTGGCTCAAGTTGTTTGAACATCCTCATTCCTCTGACACTCTCCCAAGGAATACAACAGAGTGACTAAGAGCACAGTAATTGTTTTCCTCTAGCAGACCAAGGTCGTCCTAGTGCAGCCTGCTCCTTCTAGTGGCAGCCAACTATGTGCCACTAGGTGGTTGCAAGCAGTGTATAAAAGGTGTTTAGAGATGGATAGAAGTTCTACCAGTTTTGATGGCTTTCAGATGGGGGTTAGCCACAGTAACTGAAGACTGGTCTATCCATGGATATTACCACTACTAGCTACCCTGTTGTAACTTTTCACCTTTATCAGTGTTTGCATGAGCACACAGTTACTGAGTATTGCTGTCAGTCTGAACATGCCTGACATCTGTTCACACACTTCTCTAAGGCAGGAGAGTACAGTGTGATTTCCGTTGTCATCACTCCTTCTGGACGGTCAGTCAGTCAGCCTTTATTAGCATAAAACAATACCTTAAAAGAGGATTACTATAGAAGAGAAATATACATATAGAACCAGCCATTTTACAAACTACAAAAATATTGCATAATGTTGCATAAAACAATTTGTTACAAAGTATTGCTCATGTTGGTAGTTTTTCCTGTTGTTGCTTTATAGCTGATTGTAAAAACATGGCTACCGTCACTGATATTTCAGGAGCAGAGTCATTCAGAAGACGGTGCACTTTTAAAGCATCAGGAAAGTCCGTCATGTTGGCTAAGATAGGGTTTAAATATCTAAAACGTATGTCTCCATAAACTTGACAATGCAAACGGATATGTGAAACTGTCTGAATACATCCAGAGTTACAATGGCAAAGTTGAGCCAGCCTAGGCCGGAATGGGCAGGATAGAAATCAACAAAAATAAATAAAATAAAATAAAATAAAGTCTAGCCATATATATTATGTTATTATATCTCCCATGCAAGATTGCTGATGGTATTGCATTGAATCTTGCAGGAGAAAAGGCTCTACGCTGTTGTGGTACTTGTATATCAGATAGGTATGGGGCCATTTGGCCTACTGTGAGGGGAATCTCAAAATTCAGACGGGAACAAGATATGTTGGCTAAGCTCTATAGCCTTTCTGTTTCAGTGTCAAGGACTCTGCGTTTAATCATCTGAAAAGCGCCAGTTTGGTGTAGTGGTTAAGTGTGCGGACTCTAATCTGGGAGAACCGGGTTTGATTCCCCACTCCTCCCTTGACAATGCAAACGGATATGTGAAACTGTCTGAATACATCCAGAGTTACAATGGCAAAGTTGAGCCAGCCTAGGCCGGAATGGGCAGGATAGAAATCAACAAAAATAAATAAAATAAAATAAAATAAAGTCTAGCCATATATATTATGTTATTATATCTCCCATGCAAGATTGCTGATGGTATTGCATTGAATCTTGCAGGAGAAAAGGCTCTACGCTGTTGTGGTACTTGTATATCAGATAGGTATGGGGCCATTTGGCCTACTGTGAGGGGAATCTCAAAATTCAGACGGGAACAAGATATGTTGGCTAAGCTCTATAGCCTTTCTGTTTCAGTGTCAAGGACTCTGCGTTTAATCATCTGAAAAGCGCCAGTTTGGTGTAGTGGTTAAGTGTGCGGACTCTAATCTGGGAGAACCGGGTTTGATTCCCCACTCCTCCACTTGCACCTGCTGATGTGACCTTGGGTCAGTCACAAGCTGTGGCACAGCTGTCCTTGAAAAAGAGCAGTTTGTGTCAGAGTTCTCTCAGCCCCACCCACCTCACAGGGTGTCTGTTGTGGGGAGGGGAAGGGAAAGGAATTTGTAAGCCTCTCTGAGACTCCAAGTGAAGGGCGGGGTATAAATCCAATCTCTTCTTCTTCTTCTTCTTCTTATAAAAGGGAGCATAAGCAGTGAGTCCAGCGGGATACCCATGGCAGTTATTTTATTTCATTGTGTGGTAGCCAGTTAGACACTTTTGACTCCGTGAGCATTTGTTGCACAAAGCTCCCTTGGTCTACATTGTAATGTTAAACGCAGCCAATATTTTACTGTCCTAAGCCATGCACCAGATTCCACAGGATTTAACCCAGTTTCTAGACAAAAGGCTGCATAAGGTACACAGCGCGGCATTCCCATGATCTTTTGAAGAAATTTAGATTGAATACATTCAGTGGTGGCATTAAGTGCGCTTATCCATGTTGGAATACCATACATGAATTGGGGAATTACTTTGGCCTTGAAGACTTTTAATGCAGCTGGTATGAATTGATTGCCTCTGGTGTAGAAAAATCAGGAAATGGCAGAAGCATTGATGTTGGCCATACTTATTGCTGATTTACGTTGCACCGACCAAGATGCATTATACTGGAAGTACAGACCTAAGTATCTAAAAAATTTAACTTGTTCAATTGGTTTGCCTCCAATTGTCCATTTGGATAGTTTCCACGTTTCGGAAAATACAAGTATTTTTGATTTTTCATGGTTTATATGAGAGGCATCTATTTAGTGAACAGTTTAAACCAACTTTAGAGCAGAACAATAGTACCATGCCGTCTGCATATAATAGCAGAGGGACATGGACAGAACCCAGTTTAGCAGCATGGCAATCAACAGCTTCGATGTAGGGGGCGACATCATTAAGGAACAGGTTGAATAGAAAGGTGCTAATATACAGCCTTGTTTGACTCCTTTGTTGGATGGGATTTTTGAAGTTAATTTCCCTTTCCATGAACATTTATTTTGGCATTTTGTTGATGTATATAGCTTTTTTATAAGGTTAAGGAGTCCTTTTTCTATGTTTAGTTGTTGTAGTTTAGCCCAGAGGAGTTCCCTGTTTTCATTGACTATACATTACAACTCTGCAGCTTTCATGTGTTCTCTCTCTTTTTTAAACTGACAATCCCAAATTGTTGGGAATTGCTGTGTCCTCCTTAACATCCCTGCCCTCTTTTCTGTCCCCCAGCCTGATACCAGGACATTATGAAGAAATTGAAATCTCTGAGACCAGCGTCAACAATGGTCCGGAGCACATTGGGCCTCACTGCTTTGAGCTCCTTCGTGTTTTGGGCAAGGGTGGCTATGGCAAGGTGAGCAATGGCTGATGTGGACCCTACTGAAGATGTGTGACGTGCTGGAGAGACGTTTACCTTACGAATAACTGGTTTTTACTCCTAGCCCTGCTGGGGTGCTAGAAATGTGGGAGGCTCATAGGGCAATTTGGGAGGCTGGTACCATTAACGACTTTCCACACAGAGAAATCTAGTTCACGTCATCAAACTAAATGTGATGTGGGAGATCCTATGTATCTGCTTTGTTTTCCCCATGCAGCTAATAGTGTGCTTGGGGAAAGGGTTAAATGCCCCCACTACCACTTCCGTAATCTTTAGAACAGTCATGTGGAGTTGCTTACTCTTTAAAAGGATAGAGACAGAACACACAGTTCTCCTAGCCTCCATCTAGCTTGGCCTTCACTGGGTTGGTCAGTCTGTTTCAGTTCAGTCTGCTCTTCCATACATAAAACAGAAGAAGAGATAGAGCTCTAGGAGCACTTAAAATGTTCCATAGTAGACCAATTTGAACATATTATTTTTAATACCATTGGAGAAAAATCTTGCTTCCATTTCCATCATAGCTACAAAGAGTTATCCAGAAGTGCTATTCAGATGGGTGAATTGAATGTTAGGTAGGTAGGTAGGTTGGGTTCATTTCCCACTTGTGGAGACTGAGTCCTGCTCAACTCAGATGATCTGCCTGCACATTCATGTGTCCTGGGATGTGTGTGGCTTCCAGGAAGACGTTGTGGGTGATGCAGAGGGTCCATAACTGGATGGCAAGGTTGCAGAGGCGGAGGGAGACAGTACCTCCTTGTATGTTGACATAACTGAGGGCAGTGGTGTTGTCTGTGAGGACTGTAACACATTTCCCCTTGATCAGAGGTAGGAAACTGGTGACAGCGAACTGTATTGCAAGCAGTTCCAGGAAGTTTATGTGCCGTCATCTTTCGTGAGTGTTCCACTTGCCTCCGACACAAAGACCCATCATGTGTGCACTCCAGCCCGACAGGGAGGCATCTGTGGTTAGGGTAATTTGGGGTGATAGAGGATGGAAGAGTGCTCCCTGGAAGAGATTGGAAGGGACAGTCCACCATAGTAAAGAGTCTTGTATATTGGGAGGAGGGGATAGGAGGGTGGTATGTGCGTTTTCCGTTGGATTGAAGTTGCGGATAAACCACAGTTGTAGGTGAAGCATGTTTAGTCTGGCAAAGACTAGGACTGATGTAGTAGCGGCCATAAGGCCGAGTAGCCTCTGTATTTGGAAAGCCATGACTGAAGGCTGGGTACAGATGACAGTGGCTGTCTGCCGCTCTGTTTTGTGGCAGGTAAGCTGTGCAATTGTTGGAATCTAGTAGGGCACCGATGTACTGTATTTTCTGGACCGGTTGAAGTTGAGACTTTTCCTGATTGACTTGTAGGCCCAGGTTTCCCAGGAGCACCAGTGTCTCATTGATGTTTGAGACCAGGGTGTCCTTGGAGGATGCTACCAAGAGCCAATCGTCGATGTATGGGTAGATGGAGATACCCTTGAGACGAAGGAAAGCTGCAACCACAATCATAGTCTTTGTGAAGACTCTTGGGGCGCTCGAAAGGCCGAACGGCAGGGCTGCATATCGGTTATGCTGTTGACCAATTGCGAAGCGTAGGTATTGGCGGTGGGAGAGGTGAATGGTGAGGTGGAAGTACGCGTCTTGGAGGTTGAGAGTGGCCATCCAGACGTTTCTCTGGAGGAGTGGCATAATCTGCTGCAAGGACACCATGCGGAAGCGGTGGTAGGTTACAAAGCAGTTCAACGCTCTTAGATCTAATATGGATCAAATGCCTCCATCCCGCTTTGGAACTGTGAAATAGCGGGAAAGAACCCCTTTCCGTGGAGACGTGGTGGTACCGGTTCAATGGCTCCTTTGTGCAGAAGGACAGACACTTCTTCTAGGAGAGGTGGGGAAGGGGGTGTGGAGACGAAGACAGGAGTAATGGAGTTCTGGTGGAATTGGATACGGTAGCCTCGGGTCACAATGGACAGCACCCATTCATCTGTGGTGATATGATGCCAGGTGTGAAGGAAGGGAGATAGACGGGTTTGAGCTGACTCAAAAGTCCTGCCTGGAGGACTTCGCCTGCTGCGCGGGAAGACTGTTGTCTGGATCCAAACCTGGGTTTTTGAAAGGTGGGTTTCTGACCTCCTGAAGACGTACGTGGTCTCCATTGTCTGTCAGGACATTGACGATTCGGAGTGCGCTTTTGCCAGGGTCTAGACCAAGTGTGAGGGCGATATTGTTGCCTCGTGGAAGATGACACTCCTAGAGTGTGTGAAGCCTTTACGCTCTTATCCATATCTTGGAGTATGGTATTGATAGTGCTGTTGAAGAGACCAAGGCCATCGAAGGAGAGGTCTTCGACATAAGACCTAGTATCTTTGTGGAAGATTGGTGTTACGGAGCCAGGAATGATCCTTAGAGCTATTATTCTTGAGGCCATTGTTCTTGAGGAAGTGCCTAGGGCATGTTTGGAAGTGTTGATCTGCTGCTTCGCAAGTCCCAACATGCCTTCCTTCTGAATCACTCTGGCTGCCTGAAGCTTGCCTTCGAGGAGATGAGTCAGGAGTTCAGAAAACCTTTCCCACAGAGTGTACTGATATCTGCTCATGCAGGCTAAGTAATTTGTGGTTTTCACTCCCAACGCTCCCATGGAGTAGAAGCGTCTCCCAAACGTGTCCAATTTTCTACTCTCCCTGTCAGAAGGTGCAGAGTGTGTTCGTTTGGACTTGGATGAGGATGTTACAACTATCGAGTTTGGCTGAGGGTGGGAGAATAAAAATTCGGCTCCGGTCTCCCGGACTCTATACATGTGGTCCAGGCATCGTGTTGACACTGGGGCTGATGAAGGCTTCTCCCATGGTGCCTTGGCAGCTTGTAAAAGAACCGTGGACATGGGCAGTGCTATGGTAGTGGAGGTATCCAGTTGTACGATATCGAAGACGGCATCTGTAACCTGTGGTTGTTGTTGTACGACTGAGAGGCCGAGAGAATGGGCCATTCTTTTGACAAGGTCTGCATAGGAAGTGAGATTGTCGGGTGGGGATATAGGTAGATCATCTGCGACAGCTTGGTTAGGAGACTTGTGGTCAGAAGAGGTGTGAGCCTCAGAGGCCTCCGTATCAGAATCCTCTTCTGCAAAATCCAAGGAGCTCTGATCTGGTATTTGAACCGGAGTGACTTCCGTTTGACTGGTTAAAATCTTTGGTGGTACGACTTGGGGGTTGGGAGGACGACAGAGTTCCGGTTTATGGTGGGAAGGATCCTCGGCCGGAGAACGAGATAGAGATGCTGAAAGTCTAGATTTGTAGAGCGACCTTGATCTGTGGACAGAGTGGGTCAAGTACCGATCCCAGTCAGAATAGCCTGCCGGAGTCAACCACGGCATGGATGGTGGATAACCCCCATAGAGATACCTCAGTTGGCATTGATCCCAAGACAGAGGTGGCGGTGGTGGTAGAAAGACTCGGGGGGATCGACTTCTGGATTGGGTACGTCTCGGAGACAAAGCAGTAGCCTGCTTTTGAGAGCGGTCCCTATAAACTCGGTCATCAATATCGACAGGTTCAATAAGCAGACGTGGAGGGTGGCGCTGCGTGTTGCTAGAGGCGTGTCGATTCCGATGCGTATCGATGTCGGGAGCCTCTGACACCGTCAATGTCGATGACGGGGAACGAGAGGGAGAAGCCTTTGCGTCCAGGGGGCGACTAAGGAGCTCCACTGTCTCGATATCGTAGTAAGGATGCTTGAGTTGTTGTATAGGAGAGTCCAAGAGTTGAATGGTTGGTATCGGCGGAGCGGCATGGGCCTCCGATGTCGATATTGCCGTTGGAGCGGGTGGCACTTTAGGGGCATCACCCAGTGCAGACACTGCTACCTTCCCCTCCTTTGCCGCCTTTAGGGACTTTGAGGAGCCCTTTTTTGCAGACTTGTGCTCCTTACTTGACTTGGGCTTTTTCTTCACCGGCGTGGAAACGGAAGATTGCGCCTTCGATGCCGGTGGCTTCGATGTCGGTTGGCCGATGTCGGAGGCAGGTCTCGATGCCGGAGCCGTCGTTGTTGATGGTCTCTCGGACTCCCTCACTGGGAGGGATGTAACGCCAACTCAAGTAGCGCCACTTTAAGGCACGCAGCTTGATTTTTTCTTGTCTGGTTTGAAAATCTAGCAAAGTGCCGACAAGATTCAGGCCGGTGAGACTCCCCCAAACAAAAAATACAGAGGGTGTGGCAGTCAGGTGGAGCAAGTTTACTGCTGCAACCCTTACAGCGGTTGAAAACCCCCCACTTCTCCATAAAAAATAAAAAGCGGAGAAGAAAGAAGGGGTGGGGGGGGGGCCCGAAGGCCAAACTGAGGTAAACTGGCAATTTTCCCCTCAACAAAAAACAACTTTTAAAAAAAGTTTAACAACAAACGAAGAAAGACTAAGAGAAAAGAAGAAAACTGAGGGGGGAAATCCGAAGAGCCGTGAGGCAAATAGCCAAAAGCGAACCGATCAGACCGACGGAGAAAAGGTCGTTCCAACGCGTCGGTAAGAAAGGAACTGGCGAGATGTCCGCGCCCACCCCTCTGGGCATGCGTGGTAGGGTTCCTGCGCATGCCCGAGGTCTGGGCACGAAAATCCGTTAAGAGCTTGCTACAATGCCGATCGATCCAGCGCGTGCGCACTAGATCCCATTGGTGTGAAGCACAGAGACCCCGTCGAAGATACTGGTTCTTTTTATCATATGTGGTGGACCTGTGATGTTTTAAAAAAAATATTGGATATGGATACATGAGATAGTACAAAAAATACTTAACATGAATGCACCTTTCATACCAGAATTGTTTTTTATTAAATATGGTTCCACAAAACTACAATAAAAAGGATGTACCGTATTTTTTGGACCATAAGACTCACTTTTTCTTCCAAAAAAAGTGAGGGGAAAAGTGTGTGCGTCTTATGGACCGAATACTGAGCCCCAGGGTTCAGAATATTTTTTTCCCTGTTTTCCTCCTCTAAAAACTAGGTGCGTCTTATGGTCAGGTGCGTCTTATGGTCCGAAAAATACGGTATATATGATTTTACAAACTGTAACAATAGCTAGAATTTTATATGCAAACTATTGGAAAAAAGAAGAAACACCATCAAAGGAAGAACTTATTTTCTGACTCATGGAGGCAGCAGAAATGGACAAATTAACTTTACAACTACATGAAAAACAAGAAAGTGACTTTGAAAGAAAATGGGCGAGATTTTACAACTGGATGCAAAATTATCTTGGAGAACATAAATCATGAAACATAACAAAAATTTTACAATCATGGCTCAGAGTCTATAAGTACAAAGTAACTATTTTTGCTGTTAGAGTATAGTTTCCACTCTGTTAGTAGAGTTTCTATTCTGTTTCTTGTGTCTTTTCATTTCGTTTCTTTGTAGAATCCTTCTGTGAAATCAATAAAATCTGTTTTACATTTGAAAAAATCTATCAATCATTCAGTCATTAAGGTGACCATGCAAAGTTTATATGGGGTGGGTATCTGGATTGACCAGACAGGGAGGTCCTTGGATTCAGTTCTTCTTAAATTCCTACATTTCATCTGTGGAATTCCAAATTGGGCAGCAGGGACACCCTCTGTGCTGAATTGGAACAACCATCTTTTGAAGCTTGGGCTTGGTTGAAGGCTTTTCCCCTTAAAGTTAAAATTATACACTCCAACATCCAAGAGAGCTACCTCAGCTTAGTCAGAGAGGACTCTTCATGTTTCCCACTGGGATAAACTTGTTGAGCAACGACTACAGCTCAGTCTTTCCTTGAACTCTCTTTATTCAGTTACCAGACAGGAAGCCACAAGAATGATCAAGAAACGTCTGTTTAAATATGATTATAACAGTACAATCTGTAGAACACAATGGGTTTGTTGTACTCAGTTTGCTGGTATTCTTCCACCCGGAGAGCTTCCTGATTACTGCTTATATTTGACTATTCCTCACTATAGGCGTGCCTTTATGTTGGCGCACCTTAATTCCCTACCATCTAGAGCAGTGATGTCAAACATGTGGCCTGGGGGCCGGATCAGGCCCCCGAAGGGCTTCCATCAGGCCCGCGGTGGAACTGGCCATCTCCTGCTTCCAGTTCTGCTGTGGCATCATCGCTTTCTTCGCCAGACTCTCTTAATCACTCAGCCATCTTATGTTTTAACCTGGGTCTTAGACTCAGAACTCTGAGCATGAGATTTCTGTGGTGAATGTCAATAAATCAAAAGTAGGTTTGCAGCTTACAGAGCTAATGTTTTGAGCATGTTTTTATTTTAAGTTAAAAAAAATCTTTGTATTTGTGTCCTATATAAAGTTTATATCTCCGCTACCTGGCATTACATTTTATGACACACATGGCCCGGCCCAACAAGGTCTCATTTATGTCAGATCTGGCCCTCATTTGACACCGCTGATCTAGAGTTTTGCAAGGGGGAGTTTTGCAAGGGGGAGATCTAGAGTTTTGCACCCTAACCCAAACCCCCAAGTTCCTGCTGCCACCACCCCCCCCCCCCAATCCAATGGAAAAATTGGGAAACGGGGGAGTACTGAAAGAACACACCTATGAAATAATTTATTTTTTTGAATCTGTGCAATGATTATTGAGATAAGACTTTACTCACTCATTGACTGGCATGACGTCCCTCTCGGTGGGTGGCGCCTCGTGTGCCTCCGCCCGTCCTCTACAGGACACTGACCTTGATTACATCTTCGATTTCCATTATAGGTGTTCCAGGTACGGAAAGTGCAGGGAACCAACGCTGGGAAGATTTTTGCCATGAAAGTCCTAAAGAAGGTAAGGGACGTTTATGTCTGAACTCTGTAGGCCCCGATCCGTGTTCTTTATGGGGCCCTGATCCTCTCTGGGTGCTTCCCGCAGGCCAAGATTGCCCGCAATGCCACGGACACGGCCCACGCGAAGGCTGAGAGGAGTATCCTGGAGGCCATCAAGCACCCCTTCATCGTGGACCTCATCTACGCCTTCCAGACTGGTGGCAAACTCTACCTCATCTTGGAGTGCCTCAGTGGTACGGGAACGGAGAGCAGCCATGCCTAGCAAAAAGGGGGCCATTCTTGAGATTTCTTTGCGCCCTCGGACCCCTCCCCGTGAGTGTCCTTGGGTTTGGGGAAGGCCCTGCTGGAGTCAGCTTATGGTTTCTCGTTCCCCTGTGTGCTGTCTAGGTGGGGAGCTCTTCATGCAGCTGGAGCGAGAAGGCATCTTCCTGGAGGACACAGCCGGGTCAGTGCCTGGCATCGGGGGGGGGGGCTGGGGGGGCTTCCTCTTGGCTCTCTTGGGTGCTGATCTTGGAGGGGGGGGATGGAAGGGGGGGAGTCAGCTGCAAGCCACGAGGGTCCCATCCTTCCTGATAGGCAGCCGTGGGTGAGGATAAGTTGGGCGGCATTTCCTGGCAACCCGGTCCCCCACTGTCATTTGCAGCTGTTTTCTAAGTGGAGCTTGAATCCAGGAGTCTGGCTTGTAAAAGAAGAGTGAGAAGAGGCTTGATTGATGGCCTGAAAACCCACAGCAAATCCATTGTAAGAATGAAGCCGTGATAAACTGGCCAGATCCCTTTCATGGAAATGCTTTAATGGCTCTGAAGGAAGGGAAGGATCTCCTTGGCAAGCAGTCTGGTGTGGATCAGTTTGCAGAGGCATTGTGTTGCAGTTTGCAAAGGCATTGTGTTGCAGAGAAGAACTCGCAGCAGGAGGGTCTCGCTTCAGAGCCGTGGGCTGAACCGATGTTGCCTTGGTGGCCCATCTAGTCTAGCTGGATCTATCAGCAGCATCTCAGGGAAGGGGGACCATTCTGCAGTTCACGTACCCAAGGCAGGTGGTCTTTAAGGATGCCTCCTGACTTGCCTTTATTGTGTTGCTGATTTTTATCAGTATGTTTCTGTCTCTTGTTCCTTGTCCTGTCCTTTAAAGACCATTGTAAAGAGGTTGATCCCACAAGTATCTATACTAGCCTGTAATCCTGCGGGGCTCTGACACAGCATTGCCATCTGACCAGGGGCAGGGCAGTCAGCAACGCTGCAGGAGCACTGTGAGATGTGCCCATAGAAAAGCAGCCTGCACAGCATCCCTGTAGTGTTTAAAATGTGTTTTAGTGTTTATTTAAATTTTTCTTTTTGAAATGTTAAACATGGAATCTACACAGACTAGCTGCATTGTGATGGTAACAAGCTATTATTTTAAAATCCATAAAGTGTGTGTGTGTGTAGATTGTAGAGGCTGCAGAATTTCTAAAGCGACTATCAAGCCTGGGCGGGGGTGGGGTGGGGAGATAGTGAACATTCCAAATAGTCTCATTTCCCTCATTGTTGACCAGTGAAAGAGGCGCATTGTGTTTGTGTACAGGAGCATGTTGCCATGCCTCCCCTGGCCCCGGCAGGGAGGGCTGCCAACTCGCATAAATGCATGTGGCTTTTCATATTCTGATTCCTTCTGTACAGCATTCGAACTGAGGGGGCTGGAAGTGGGCGGGCATGAGGGAGTGAAGCACTCAAAAGCTTAAACCACTGGATTGCTAAAATACTGTGGCTGAAGCATTTTAGAGCAGACAGTTGAACTTGGTTCAGGATATATACTTAGGAATTGTAACCCTCTGGTTAAGGATGTGTTGTGGCTTTTCTGCATGGTCCTGTCCCCGCTGGTTAAAATTCCAGGAGTCCTCCTGCCATGGTTCTTTCCCAAGGAGAGAGCAAACCCGATTTGCCTGCACAGCAGTGTTATTCCCAGGAAAATCCCATCTATCCCTGTCCTCTTGTTAGCTGAGTTCTTCCACTTCCACAGAGGGATTAATCTTGCCAATCACCCTCCCCTGTATACCTCTCTTACAAAAGCAACAGGCTTTCTTCTGTTGGCTGGCTCTCTGGCTTCTGGGACTGAGCGAGGTGTCAAGAACCTTCTGAACCACGTGGGGTGGTTTGTGTGATGTTGATTGAATCTGTTTCTCCTCCTCCCCCTCCCCCCCTTCTGCATTGTTTTCCAGTTTCTATCTGAGCGAGATCACCCTGGCCTTGGGCCATCTGCACTCCAGTGGCATCATCTACCGGGATCTCAAGCCTGAGAACATCATGTTGAGCCACCAGGGTATGAGACAGTGTCCCAGTCTGCAAAAGCGGAAGGGCGTTTCTTTGGGATGAGTCTGCTTCTTACTAGCCAGAGATGGAACTGGATCTCTGCTCTGCTCTTCCACAGGGCACATCAAACTGACAGACTTTGGGCTTTGCAAGGAGTCCATCCATGACGGGGCTGTCACCCACACCTTCTGCGGCACAATAGAGTACATGTGAGTGACAGGGGCTCCTCAGCAACTTTGGGAAATCCACACATCTGGCTTAGGCCTCTGTTGTAGAGGCAGCTGTTCGCTGGTATCTGTGAAACAAACATGACTTCCTCTTTCTTACCATCTCCCCCATATGTCAGGGCCCCAGAGATACTGATGCGCAGCGGCCACAACCGGGCAGTGGACTGGTGGAGCCTTGGTGCCCTGATGTATGACATGCTCACTGGATCGGCAAGTCTCACCTGCGTGGTTTGCAAGGACGGGGGTGGAAATGAGAAGCTGTAGCAGAAGTGGAAACCTGTGACAGGAGTGGGCAGAAGGACTCATAGGCCAGTGATTCTCCGTGGCTGACGGGTCCTGCGTCAGATTGCCATTTCTGCTGAGCCAACTCAGCCGAAGTCTTTTGTAAACTGGAGAATATCAGAATCCAGAACCTAAATATGCTGAAGAAGGGCAACATGGAGTTTGGGAAAGCCCACGGGATTTTCTTCCTTGACTGTCCCTGGGCTCCGTGCAACCCATGAGCTGTACTCTGCTGCCAAGAGCATATGTTTGTGGGCCCCTCCCCCCACTTTCCTGGTTTGCTGCCCCCCAGTTCCTTTCCTTTCCTGACCCCTCGCAGGTGCTTCAGTTTCCAGGCAGCCTCTTCCTCGGGTTGGATGTCCCTGCTGAGCCCTGTGTCCCTCTCTTGCAGCCTCCTTTTACGGCCGAGAATCGCAAGAAGACCATTGACAGAATTCTCAAGGGAAAGTTGGTGCTACCCCCCTACTTGACACCCGACGCCCGTGACCTGCTGAAGAAGGTAGAGGCGGGTCAGTTGGCTGAGTTGAACCCTGCAGCGTGGACTGTCACGGCCATGTTTGTTTTATTCCCGCCCCTCTCCCCCCCCC